TTGAGCATCCTCTCTCTATATTAAAGAGGTGAGAAAAGATGGAGCTGTAACATATTAAGCATATAATGGAAAAAAACACACCAGTACAAATCATGATCAAGTTACAAAGTGATTCCAAATGAACTATAATAAAAAATGTTAAGGATTAACCTAAAGATTTACACTGTATGCCACATTATGCTGTGTCTATTGTGGTTTGTTGACATATGATTATGAAAGAAACGTAAACCCAGTCAGATGAGAAAGATAGACTCCATGTTAATTGAAAAAGACAAACTAAGTGAATAATGAGTATATAAAAAATAGCCTATGCCATTTTTATCACCCATATATGACACTTATTCCCAAATTTATGGCAGAGACAATTGAACTATGTTTCAAATTACTGGAGGTTATTTCTTACCAGGAGTCCCTCTGTGCATTTTTTTCACCTCACTGTTTCTAATCTTACTCCATTACTATAGAAACACATACATACTACCAAAGCTGTAAATACATGTCTACTTAAAAGATGTCTACTATAATCCCCCTGGTTTATCTTGTACAGATGGATTCTTCAGCAAGAACTGGCATTTGTTAAAGCCCTGGAAACATGGAAATGATATTTTTTAAAAAGAGTAAAGTTTTAAACAACAGTGTGCTTTTAAATTTGAATCAATCAATAAAGAAGAGCCACACTGTACCCAGAAGGCTTCTTCTATGACAGGCATGTAAGGAGAAAGTCCAGAAACAGCTGACATGGAAAATTAAAATGGACAGTTTGTTTTTTGGGGATTGGGGTAAATATAAACAGCATAGTCCAAAAATAAAAGGTAAGCAACTCATGCAGTGGATCCAATGTCTTGTAGATTTCTTGCCTTGCCCTTTTCTGCAAGCGATTTTCAAGATGCAAGTAAACAAGTAGGTAAACAGTACGACTTTGAAGAAAACAATAAGAGGAATCACACAGAAAAAGGTGTTCTGGACAATATAACTAAGCATTTAAACAAACTGAATAATATCTGGGTAGAAACGATCCTTAGGGCAAGAACATTGGTTTCTATTTAGGTTTGGGGTTTTGCTTAACAGAACAAGGAAAATGATATTAGGATGGGATATAAGGTTCCATATAAACTAGAGAAAATTTTATCCCATTCTCACAGTAAAAGTATTTGTAACTTTCAAAATACAAATACAGAAGATTCAAACAAGAAATACTGCCACGTGTGAAAGGAAAATTGAACAAAAGACAAAGAAATATCACCCAAAGTATAGTCACGTGATATGAACAGGGGAAAAAATATAAATGATACACATATCTAATGATCATGACACCATCAAAAGCTGTGAAAAAGTAAAGAAGTCTTATCTCCAACTAAATCTTTGTTACTGAAAAAATCTCAAGAATTTTTTTTCCTAGTCAAGTTGACTGAAGAAACCAGTCTGGTTTACATTACAGAAGAAATAATCCCTTGGGGGAAGAAGGAACCTTCAAACTCCTCCTCAGCTATGAACAAGCCAAAACTTACTAAGGAAAAATAGATGTGAGCAAGCCTCCAACAATCTATGTAACCAGCTACAATTTGAGGGGACACAAAAGAGAAACATTCCACTTTGCCAGACACCCACCAAAATATCACATAAACACAACAGACGATGCCTTTTCAAAAGAAGAAAAGGCAGAGCAGGGATGGGCTTCCTTCACTGAATTCCACTGTCTCAAGCATCATCTGTAAGTGCAGGGACTGTAAGTGCAGGTGGGGAATTAAGTTACATACACCACCATACACCTCCGAGGTGTAAAGAGGGAGATAAGAGAGCAACAAACTTACTTTCTCCTCCTACCAGGAGTTTAACTCATGACCAGAGGACTCTGTTTCTGTCTCCAGTGTTTCCCTCCTACCACTTGAACAAGTCAGAGAAGACAGGAGGGGATTGTGCAATCCCAATAATCCTCTGCAATAAGTCTATTGCCACACTGACCTTTCCCCTTCAACTTTACAGAAACGGCTTCCTCCTGTTTCCTCCTAATGCAGTTAGCCCTGAGCTCAAGCTGTGCTTCTGCCTGGAACATTTCAGCGCCACTGATATGCAACTATAATGACCTTGCCAGCATGTGTGACAGAATTTGTTTTTGTGTTAAAGATATAATATTGTTTAGGTTCAAAGTAAAGCACTCACAAGTCGGAAAATTTCCTGTGCAACTTTAATTCATCCCCTGGTGTGTTTATTCCCATTATCGCCATGTTTAACTACAGGAGCACTTAGTAGGTTTTCCAGTAGGATCCTTACTTGTTCAGCATGGTGGGTGGACATATTCCAACCATCAATCAAGAGTAAGCAGGGATAAGGAAATCCATATGATCGTTCCTCCACTTGTTGCAGAAGTTGGAAATCATAGGCAAAAAGGCCAAGAAAAGGAGGAAGAGCAGAAGAGCACAGTACTTATGAGATTTTGCACCTGTGAGGGCCTCTCTGCTACGTGAACACCAGACTAAAATATAGTGCTTGTCGCTACCCATTAGCTGCACGTTCTCAACTGAACCTGATATGAAGAAGTGCCTGGCACTTGCAATGGCCACTAACATAGACATCCAACTCATTATTATCTGGAGAAACCAGCACAGCATGGAGGCAGGTGAATTTGAATTCTAATTCTGTTCCACCATTGATTATTTTTTGCGACCCCAATCACATCTTGTTTATTATACTAATTTTACCGATGGGAAAACAATATTCCCTCATCTCAAAGAGGTGCTGGATCAATAACTGTGAGCCATTAAAATAATACATTAAGAAGCACCCTCGAAGAAGAGCATGCAGAAATTAATAACTATCTACTAACTGTGGTATTTGTATGGTGTAACACTTTCTTGATGAATAGTAAAGATATTACTGAGCCCCCTTCCCTCCTCCATTACTATACATCCTCACTACAGGAATAGTTTGAGCAGAAAAAAAAAAAGAAGAAGCCTACATTAAAGACTGTGAGATCCTACACATATCAGTGAAAGAACTGCTCATACAGTTTACTGGATTACTGGATTAAAGTTTACTGGATTACTCTCGTTTCTAACTTTCATGCACTTGACTGATAACCTCAAAAAAGAGAGTTTAACACAAACTGTAAAAAGTCATGCCATTATTTATTTTTCAAAAATAAGCAGGTTATTTAATTTTAACAGTGTATAACCTTACAAGGTTAACCTCGAAGGTAACAATTAAAACCTGCAAACTATTAGTTACATGTTGTAATAATAAAGCAAATATTTAAAGATCATTGGTGAATCATTCCATTGCCTTCTCAATTTCAGTTCTATAGACAGCACAAAAAGAAATGAGAAAAGCTAAAGCTGTACATACTCAACAAACATTAGATACCTGTGTATAACTTAGGCTGCTGCTCATAGTGACTCTGAAAGTACATTACATCTTGAGAAAAAATAGGTGTTCTTTGTTTCACTTCAAAATACAAACTTCCGTGTCTCTCTTTCCATGGCAGACTGGATAAAGATGGGAAGAAAGAAGGAAGGACAGGCTGTGTACATGAGGTACCATGACTGAGAAAGAAGTCATGATCTCAAATGATCCCATGTGTATCACATCCTTCCCCTCAAAAAAATTTTAAAGCACTTAAAACATTGAAGAGTTTCAAGATGAGCTTCACTCAGTGAAATTAGCACCAAAACAAACATATATGTCCTGCAACTGACCATGAGTTCCAGAATTCAGTATTGCCACAGAAAATACCAAGATTTAGAAATGCTCTCTAAGGGTAATTACTTTTTCTAAAGGATTAAGAATCTATTCCATCATATGAAATCAAGAGAAGCTTTCCTTTTTTTTTTTTTCTAGTGGCCTTCCATGCAAATTTTTAATACAGATGGTATGATATGCAAGTAACATAGAAACTGCAGCTATAAAACACTTCAGACAGTTGGCAGAAGATGAGATGTGATGAGAGCAATATGTTTCAAGCATTAGCTCTTTCAATCAAAGTGTTAAAAAAAAAATAATAGTCTGTAAAGGTGATGAGCTGCACTAGACTCTGGCAGGTGCCCAGCCATGTAATTGAGTGCTTGGCCTCAGAAGGAAGATTTCAAAAAGCATGGGTAATTTGAATGGCAGAGTCAGATCGACACAAGTTCCTGCGGCAGAAACAGAAGTTCTCAGAAGAGTCCCACTGAAATTAAAATAGTTTCAGGATACCAAACTTTTTGATAAAGATACCAGAAAAGCCAACCTTTAAGTATTCTATTTATTTTAATTAACAACAACAACCCAAAAAAAATAAATTCGAGTTCTTTGAGGTAAAAGATAGCCACTCGCATTCAGAATTCCGTACTAACATTATAACCTTTCACGGTGAGAAATCATCCCATCCCTACGCTCCAACGCATCCTGAGAGCATGGACAGTCACGGTCAGAGGTGTTGTGACTGATGTGACACTACCCCAGCAATTCAGCAGCCCTTTCGTCCGCTCCTCAGCTGTTCAGCGGGGAAGTTCATTACTTTTTTTCGGCTGATGCGGGCAGTCTGCCCTGCCAGCACACCCCGGGGGCAGAGACTTCCTCCGGATGGTTCCGCGGTCACCCGGCGGTCACACGCCCCGCACGCCTGTCCGCGGCAGCCCCCGAACGCCTCACCCCGGCTGGTGCCCGCAGCCCCGAACCTCCCGGCCGGGGAGAGGTGTCGGCTCCCGGGCGCGGACGGGGGCCCGGGCCGCTCCTTCCTCCCTGCGGGGAAGCGAGCCGGAGCGCTGCGGCTCCCCACGGACGGGCACGGTGGGAGGAAGTAGCCGGGGAGGAGGAACTGGGGGGATGGGAAGGAGACAACCCCCGAACCCGTGCACTGGAAGCGATGGCCCAGTGCCCACCGAGGCGAGCTCCGCTGCGGCTCCAGGGGCTGCTGCCCCCGCAACGCCCCGGCTCCCCCGGCCCGTCACACCCCCACCGGCCCGCCCCCCTCGGCCTCCCCTCCGCCCGCCCCCCGGGAAGGAAGCCCTCCCTCCTGCTCTCACCTGCCAAGAGGCTGCAGACGTCCCCGGGGACGCCGGGAGCGTCGGACATGGTGCGGGCGGCGGGGGCGGCCGGGGACACCCGGCGGGCGGGGCTCGACGGCTCGCACCGGCCCGGGCCCGGCCCCGCGGGGAGGAAGCGGAGGCCACGCCCCCCGCCCGCAGCGGCACGGCCGCGAGCCCGGGGGGCGGAGTCTAACATGATCGGGGCGCGGCTTCCCGCCACGAAGGCGGTGCTTCGGCACGCTGGGGGCGGGGCTTCGCGGCACTGGGCGGAGCTTCATGCTGCGGGGGCGGGGCTTCCTGCCGGCTGGCTCCACCCCCACCTCAACGCCGCGCTTGCGCTTCACGGCCCTCCCCCCGTGTTTATGGCTGCCGGCGGCCATCGTGCGTGAGGGCACCGCCGGCCCGCCCCCGCCAGAACCAAATGTGGCGCCCAGCGTCGGCTCCCTCCACGCCTTCCTCTCCGAAGGGCAGGAGAAGTTGGCTATTGGATAAGAATGCGCCGAGGCCTCTCTCTGATTGACCCATTGGTTGTCCCGCCCACCAAGCCAGCGCCTGGCGTCCCCCTCTCCTCCCACAGGGGCGGGCAGGGTTGGGTCGGTGAATGTGGAGGGTGGTGCTTTGGAGATTTAATTTCTTCCAGACGTCTTTCCATCTTTCTTTCATTGCGCGGTGCCGACGTTGTCCCTCTCGGTTTTCTGTCATTGCCAGTGTCAGGGTTTAGGATGGCGGACAACCACAGCCTGCAGCCCAGCCTCGTGCCTGTGCCAATGTCCCAAAATCAAGCAAAATCAAGCCGTGGAACTTGAGGAAATCACTGAAGTAGTGGGAACAGGCCCGTTCATATCGGTGTCTGTTGGCACAGGTGTGTGAGCAGCGACAAAAAGAGAGAGAGATACTGTCGCTAAGCAACACAGCTAGGCTGCCAGAAGGGACAACTTCGCTGGAGTTTTGCTTATGAGGCAGCTTTTGTATGTTTTTCCCACAAATCCCTAGTTGTATGTATTTGGAGCACATTGGTGATGTAATATATTTAGTGTAGAAATAGTCAAAGTAAATTCTTAGCATGTGTTTCTGTGTCCTGGATGGTTTTGGCTGTATCTGTTATTGCTGCAGAAAGTGTTTGTGTTAGAGCTGTGGTTATGTTAGCACATCTGTATATCATACCAGCGTAGGAAAAACAACAATTAAACGAAGTTCCATTCATGAAGTTTCAGCTTTATACCAGTGTAATTGCATTAATACTTGTGGCACAGCTGGCAGTATGGCTGTGGCAGTCAGGTATTAAACAATTTCCTACTTCTGCTTGGTGTAGCTGTGGCCACTGAAGTCGACAGTGTAGACGTGGTGTTAGATTATATTGTTCTTCTGACCTCTCACATCTCTTTTAATCACGTGGAGCAACTCATTTCAAATACATCTGTGTTTTCAAAGCATTGCAGTTTTATTACCTGACTTTATGGCCAGCCTGGCTGAAACTCAAGCAGTGAACTAATTGACCTGTATAATGTTGTGTAATGGTTTTTATGTTGGTTATCTAATTTCAATTCAACTATAATAAACATGCCCAGGCATCTGGGTGCATATGTGTATAAATAGATCATGCCTCTTTATTTGTATAAATACCTACCACTCATCTGGTACAAGAATATGTTTGATTAATTTTTCTGTAGTTGGCAAGGAAGGCTCTTTGGGCTTATGTTAAATTATACATTTCAGATGTGCAGTCTTGGGAAGCTGCCATAAGGAATAAGAAAATGACTTGTAGTCTAATTTGCTTGCCCTTTTTCAGGTTAATCATAATCCTGCTTTCTTGTGTTGACTTTATGGCACCATCCATTTCTGTTCCAGAAATGTCACTTGAACTCTGTTGTAGTCTTTGGTTTGAGATCACTCTCCTGATAATTTATTCCATATGTTTACCATTTGTGTAAACTTTTCCTGTATTTCAGAACATAAGATGGGAAGAAGTAACTTACCTTTATTATTTCCCATCCCCCATACTCCAGTCACTCTGGAGTCACTCTTTTTCTACTTACTTTTTGTGTTAAAGACCTCCTTGCTGCAGTGAAGACCAGCCCGTCACACAGTCATCAAGATTTGTGACCCAGGCCTATTTTAAGCCTTGTTAAGTTCCAGATTTACTCATAGTTCCCTAATTTTTAAATCTACCACTAATAGGAAGCATAATTCAAAACAGACTCCTTCCTGAAACAAGTCTGGCTTCAGTGCTGTTTCAGCCTGGTTTCTGAGGATTCCACAGCTTGTGCCTCATGGAAACCAGACACACCACTTGCCTAATCAGGCCCATGGATCAGGGGTTCTTGAAGTGTGGGAAGCAACGCAACAGGGAACACACAGAAATTTATTGTCCTTCTGTGTGAGGAGAGCTATGAAAACAGGGAATTCAGGAGGAGTTGCCTACCTGGATCTGCAGAGAGCCTACAGCAATGCAGCTGTGGGAAGAATAAACTTTCCCATTCAGGAGCAGCATCACTACTGCCTTGCCTCCCTAAGGAAATGTGACATATCTTGTTTACTGGGAAACCCAGCATTTTTCCCTTAAATGTTCCACGCTTCTGCAGCCATGCTTTTAAAATTTAGATTCTAGGAGATGAATGAAACAGGACCTGTAGGCAGCTGCTCCTTGTTCTGTACATGTCCTTTAATAGAAAATTAATTGGATTACAGTGCATGCTCCCTGCCCTGATCCCTGCGCTATTTCACACAGGCAACAGCAGCCTCATTGGGGATACTCTGTGTTCTCATCTCTTGGCCCTGTTGGTTGTCTGTCTTCTTTTGCTGGACTCCAAACAAAACAGCTAGTCAATAGTCCGAATATTTATATTTTTTAATTATTTAATTACATTGAACAGTAGTTGGCAAAGATTTCTGGTATGCACATAGAGCTGTTAAATGGAAGGAGCACGGACTTTCTTTACAGAATTGCTTTCTTTATATACACAAAAACTGTTTAAAAAATCAGGAAATTATCTTATTGAATGACAGTGCTCTAAACATGGCACCCCTGTATGCTTTTTGACTGCAGTTGCTGCACTGAAGAAAAGCAGAGGCTTTTTCTTGTCTCTAACAGTGAAAAGCAGGCTTTTTCTTGTCTCTAATAGTGCAAAAGCAGATTCAAACCCTGTTTCCTCTAGCAAAACATCATTAATGTTTTCTTAGGATTTGCTGCTACTATTCAAGCTTAAATTGCTTCCTCACAGGGAGAGATGCATTCAGGACATCACAACAGTTTCTTTGAGAATAAGTTTACAGATTAACTTTGAAGCAAAAGAAAAGCTAATACTTCATGTAACAATTCATTATGATTTTGTGTATCTTCTTCTATTCAGAATACATCTCCATGAAAGCTTCCTATTTTGCTGTCCTCTTATAGGCATTTCATAAAGAAGGAAAAACCTTGAGGCATTCAAATATTGTTTGCACAGTTGAGTTGCATTGACTGTACTATGTTAGAATGTGGAAACATGGCCTTGCATTGAGAATTCAGCCCATCAAACATGATCTGAACACACTCTTCTGTTTATGGGATCATCACAAATGGAACTAAAATATACTCAGCAAGACTGCAAAAATTTTGAACACCAGGTGTGTGTTTCTTTATTGGTTTGTATGCTGAAAAATTGCCACAGCGACTTTTTTTTTCTGCAGCTTGGAGGCTTGGGTGTCACTGTTAAGTGTTCTGAATTATAAAACTGATGCACTTTGCTTCATGAAAGCAATCTACCATTTAGGGAGTACTTCCCAGGTCAATACTGTCTTGCTCTCAGTGTTACCTGTTCTTATTTTACAACCTCGGTTTGAGTAATTCCCAACTCCCAGGTTTAAAGACATATCTCAAGAAACAGAAGTCATTCCCTTCCATCTTCATGTTTCCCAGCTATACAACCACAGAAACGTGCTGAACTGAAAAACTCTAAGAATTGTCCCCTAGATAATTTTCTATATGCCATATCATAACTACCCATTCAGCTTTCAGAGCTACTGGGTTTGATGCTGAAGTGTTCAGCTTTCCAAATATGGAGCAACAAGGGCATAGCTTTTCATTTTGTACTTGTGTATTTTCCAGCAATGCCTAATTTTACCTAAGAATTACCTCTACAAAGAAAGATTGGTGTTTCTGTTATCAAAACTATAGGATAATTAATATAATTTTGAATTATGTTTTCTAGCATTACATGTGGGAAACATTTTTGGATAAGAAGTTTTTTATCTGAGCATCCATTAGATTGTATAGGATTGTGCATTATTTGATATTTTATTAGACAAAAAGTATTCTATGTCTCATCAAGTTCAGTGTCTTATTTAAAAAAAAATTATTAAGAGAGTTCCTATCAGATAAAGGCTTCAGAGTTTCAATAAGATCCTGTTGAGAGGTGATTTTCCAGCTGGATTTATTCTAATGGAACATCCTGAAAGTTAGTTTTGGCACAGGTATGAGATTTCAGTCAACATTTTTTCTCATAAAAATCTATGAAAGCAAGCCAAAGATAACTCCCCAAGTGTTACAGAAGAAGACTTCCGCTGCTTATCATGCAAATGGTGCCAATGAAGTCTGGAGACAACCAGATAAATAAGAGTGGTGAGATTTCAGCTCATACTAAATCCATTTGTTCTTGTTTGTATCTCACCCTTTGTTCTTCAACATCTGAAATTCTGAAGAAGTGAAGACTCTTCCTCTTCCCATTTCTCCTCTTCAAGATGTATGGTGATGTCCTGATGGGTCTTTCTGCAGATGAGTATGGTTCTTGGAAGTGGGGAGGGAAGCTCTGTTTGACTGGAGTTAATAATTAGATCTTACGTAAATTTTTCTTAACCCCCTATACAATCTTGATATCTAATGAATATTTTGGAGCCATGAAGATTCTTAATAACACTTTGGTGATTAAACATGCTAAAACATCATCTTGCATTCTCCAGAAGTAAAATGTAAACCTCATCATTCTTCGAGAGGTAGATTAAGTAATGAGGAGCTATGTAACCTCTATCTAAATTTAGTGTTCTTTCTAGTTCTTTTTGCCTCTTATTAACTATGGTATAATGCATTGAGACCTATTTTAAACAAATTACACCATAGGTA